TCCGCTCAGTCAGTCCGTCAGTCTATGGATGATAGGCTGAACTGAACGCTAGTCTCTTGCCCATCGCCTTGTGTAAACTCTGCCAGAATCTACTAGTGAATCTGGGGTCTCAGTCTGACACGATAGTAACAGGCACTCTATGGAGTCGAACGATCCCACGGGTATAAATCTCAGCCAATTTCTCCAAAGACATATTCATTGATACTGGTAAGAAGTGAGCAACCTTAGTCAATCTGTCGACCACGACCCAAATAGCGTCATGATGTTCAGACGACCTCGGTAACCCCGTGACGAAATCCATTGTAACCTCCTCCCACTTCCACTTCATAATCGACAGTGGTTGTAGAAGGCCTATGGGACTTTTATGTTCGGCTTTGACTTGTTGACAGGTTAAACACTTTCTTACATAGTCGGCTACGTCCTTCTTTAACCCTCGCCACCGAAACGACCCTTTCAGGTCATGATACATCTTCGTACTTCCTGGATGGGCTAGATTTGGTGCGGTATGAGCCTCAGTCAAAATCTCCTTCTTCAACGTATTGACTTTTGGCACCACAATCCTGCCTCGGAACTCTAAGGCCCCATCAGAGCCTCGGTGGAAACCTTCAACACCTCCGGCGCGAACCTTGGCATGAATAACGCGAATAAATTCATCTGAAACCTGTTCCCGCTGGATTCTTTCCCTCAGCATCGACTGAATCTGCATGGAACTGACACTCCATGTAATGGCTGTAGGAAGTGCATCAATCACTTGAATCTGCATCCGGGCGAACTCTTGTATAAGACGACTCTGAGTAACAACATACGTCAAGTCACCCTTCACCTTGCGGCTTAGGGCATCAGCAACGACATTCGCCTTCCCCGGATGGTACTGGATCGTGCAATCATAATCCTTGACGAGCTCTAACCAACGGCGTTGTCGCATGTTGAGCTCCTTTTGTGTGAAAATATACTGCAGACTCTTGTGATTGGTATAAATCTCGCACCGACCACCATAAAGATAATGCCGCCATATTATGAGTGCATGTACTACTGCAGCTAACTCCAGGTCGTGGGTAGGATAGTTCTGCTCATGGGGCTTCAACTGACGTGAAGCATACGTTACAATCTGGCCATCTTGCATGAGTACACACCCAAACCCTGCCTCGAAGCATCACTATAAATGGTGAAACTCCGAGAAGGATCTGGTATAGTCAACACCGGTGCCGTCGTAAGCCTCCTTTTCAGCTCCTGAAAACTTGACTCATAATGATCTGTCCACTCAAACTTCACAGACTTCCTCGTCAACTGGGACAAAGGGAGGGCAATCTTCGAAAACCCCTCAATAAATCTACGATAATAATCTGCAAGGCCGAGGAAACTATGAACCTCGGACGGATTCTTCGGTGCTGACCAGTTCTGTACTGCGGGAATTTTGGAAGGATCTACTTCAATACCTTCTTGAGTAATAATGTGGCCAAGAAAATCCACTCGCTGAAGCCAAAATTCGCATTTAGAGAACTTCGCATATAACTTTTCACGTCTAAGGGTCTCAAGAACGGCCCTCAGATGCTCTTCATGCTCCTTCTGGCTCATGGAATAAATAAGAATATCATCAATGAATACTATAACAAACTGATCAAGAAAAGGATGAAATACACGGTTCATCAAGTCCATGAATACTGATGGGGCATTGCTAAGGCCGAACGGCATAACCACGAACTCGAAGTGACCGTATCTCGTACGAAATGTTGTCTTGGATATGTCTAACTCCTTGATTTTCAGCTGATGGTAACCTGAACGTAAATCAATTTTGGAAAACACACAGACACCCCTCAACTAATCAAATAAATCATCAATCCTGGGAAGCGGATATTTATTCTTGATCATCAACCGGTTAAGATCCTGGTAATCGATACACATACGCATGGATCCGTCCTTCTTCTTGACAAATAGAACGGGTGCTCCCCAAGGTGAGACGCTCGGTCGAATAAAACCGAGATTCAGCAACTCTTGAATTTGGGTCTTTAATTCCTGCAATTCTTTAGGTGCCATTCTGTATGGCGCCTTAGAAACGGGTCCGGCTCCAGGGATAAGATCAATAGAAAATTCCACCTGTCGGCTAGGTGGACCACCAGGCAGCTGGTCTGGAAATACGTCCACAAACTCACGAACAATATGAATGTCGTGAGATGACCGTACCTTTTGCTCATCTCCGACTAGGCTCACAAGGTATCCCTGGCAATCACCCCGTCGGAGGATCTTCATGGCTTTTGCCATAAAAATAATATGGGGTAGAGTACGAGTCCTGGAGCCGAAATAAGTGATCTGATCATCTCCCGGAAGATAAAGAGTAATCTCCCGGTCATGACATCAGATATCTGCGTGAAAACGTGTTAGCCAATCTATACCGAGTATGAGGTCAAAATCCCTCATCTCGATAACATAAAAATCAGTAGTCAGAATACGGCCGCCGATGGAAAGACTGAGATCGGTGGCTCTAACATCAGTCACTATCTTTCGTACCAAGGCTAAACTCACCTCGAGAGGATCGACAGCATTAATAGAATGAACTCCTATAGCTTCGAGACATCGTCGTGATATAAAAGAATGGGTCGCTCCGGTGTCAAACAAGGCATAAACAGGCACATTATTAAGAACAATCATCCCATACATGGTACCTGGGTGCTGGTCGGCCTCCGTTTGATCAACTGCAAAAACGTGGGCCTGCTGTCTGCCGAGTTGCTGTTGCTGGGGTCGTGGTGGCTGTTGCCTGGGCTGCTGCTGTTGTTGAGGTTGCTGAGGTGGCTGTCGTTGTTGTGGTTGTTGTTGCAGTCGTTCTGGGCAGTTGGGGCTGATATGGCCGGGCTGACGACAAAAGAAACAAATGTTCTGGACTACAAGACATTCTCCGCGATGGCGTCGTCCACAAGTAGCACAAGGTGGGGTTTGTTGTTGTCTGGGGCTGTTCTTGCGATCATCCTGGGGTCTTCTCCACTTCTTCCTGTTCTGCTTCTTCGGTTGTTGGCCGGCTACGGGCTGGGCAGGTGGTTGGGCAACTGGCTTGGCTGGAATCGGAACTGCCTCCCTCCGAATGCTTGCGTAAACCTCTTGGGCGATAGAAACGGTACGAGCGTAGGTCTGGACTCCGTGCCCTACAATGTTGTGACGGACTGCTGGGTAAAGCCCGTCAGTAAAACGCTACGCTATCTATGCCTCTGTACGCACTAGGTCGGGAATAAAGGCCCCGAGTCTAGTGAATTCCCTCTCGTACTCATCTACGGAACGAGTACCCTGTTTGAGCGCCAGGAACTGACGCTCCATCTCTGCTCGGTAGTACGTGGGATAGTAATTCTCACAAATCAACTCCTTGCACATGTCCCAGGTACAACCGTCCTTTTCGCCAGGACGCATACTCCAGTAAGCATTCCACCAGAGTCGAGCATCACCGGTCACCTGAAGATGTGCGCATAAAACACGATAGCGATCTGTACAGTCCATGACCTCGAAAATCATTTCAAGGCCTTGGACCCATTCGTCCACGATACAAGGATCTCCCTGGCCGGAGAATTTTTCTGGGTGATAGTCGCGAAATTGTGCGACTACTGTGGCCTGGGGGACCTCCTGATGACCTAGTTCTCTACGAGGCGACATCTGAATATTGAAAAGATCAACATAATCAAACGCAAAATTATAACAAGGCAAAAATACTTTAACTGATTATTAATGCGCACAAATCTCTTGACGAGTTGCTAAAATTAACCCGAGAAAACTAGAGTCGAATTATCGAATAACTGGAATAATCGACTATATTCTGGAAACACTCTGCAATTTAATTCGAGCATCTTACTGGTTTTTAGGGTTATATCTCTGACACCTTACTGAGCATAGACTTGGACATTCATTTAAATATATATACTAAAACAATCAGTACTTACCTGATAGTCGGCGAGCCGTGAGCGTGGCGTGGTCGGGTTTTTCTAAAAACTTCCCGACTTAATAAAGTATACAGATACACAAAAACATGCTCTGATACCAATTGTAACACCCCGCTAGCTTATTAAAATCAGAGTCAAATTTTCGCAAATTCTTATCTAAAAATATTTATTAACTTGCGAAATCGTGATTCAAGGTGCTACTGAGAAACATTTCTTTTCTAAAATCCGTTATCTTTTCCGAATTAAAAGTATTAAGAAAAACAAAATATCTTAATCAAACAAGCATGTAAAACTGTATAAAATCTGACTGACAAAACATGAATATTAACATGCGAGTTTGAAAACCTGAAAGTGTCAGCGGAAGTTCAAAACGTGGCAAATACATATATACATGTCCAAAAGTCTATAAAACAGGTATATAAACAAGCCCACGACCACCAGCTTCGCTCACTCCTCCGGACCGACCCTGCGACCTGAAAAAGATAATATAGTGGGGGCGTGAGCACTAAAAGCCACTGTGCTCCGCAGAAACTCATACTAAAGTAAAACAGTAATATTAATTGCAATATCATGATCAATAGTATATATAACTGAAACTGTCATATCATGTACTGTAACTGCGATCAACCGTATCAACTACAGGATCGAATGCTGTATCTGGCGGCTATAATAGACTGCGTCGCGCCTATGTGCACACTCTAGTGGGCAGATTACGCCACTAGAACTCAGATGGTCTTACTTTGTCTAGCCTCACTGAGCAGGAACTGAATATACATACCTTGAACATGATAACTGTAATTATATTCAATGTAATACTTAGTCTTAGTCCCCACCTAAACTGCTAGTTGAAACTGTAAGTGTTGCTGCTGATCAAACTGAAACAAGTATATAAATAAACAAACACTAAGTACTATGCTCATACTGACTGAAAATAGCTGTTAAGATGCTCTACTCGATCTAAATAATTAACTGAAATAATCTCGGGGTTTAACTTGACTGACAAGAAAAATTAAACTGAACTGATATTGGTATATGGAACTAACTGGACTGAAAATTTAACTGAAATATTGTACTGAACTCGGACCGGGTCACTGAGCCCTGAACTGCTCAAGGTCTGAACCGGCCGGTTTACAGACTGGCTGGACCGCCGGCTCGCTGTGGCCGGACGGTTGGCAGCTGGCTGACCACCGGCGTGGTCG